TCCTTTTTAGCTTCTTGAGCCTTTTTCCTCTATCCTTTCACTGTGAGAGCTGAGGTGGAGTTACATTTATGATGCTCATTAGCAGTGTTGGGCAAGCTACTTGTCCAGTGTAGTGAGCTAAGCTATCAGTTACTCAAAAATAAATTAAGCTTCACTACACAAAAGCTACCACCTAAAGAATTATAGCAAGCTAAGTCACACTGTAGCTTCAACAGTAGCTTAACTACATCAGAAGCTACTTAACCCCTAGAACCCTACGGACCCATCGGCGGGTCCAGCTGCTACGTGACCTCGTAATTTTACCAAACCCCCAGTTTTGATGTAAAAAACACATTTGGCACAGTTTGGTGACATTTATGGATAAATGTGCCAAAATGGCCTCTCCGCCTAAGAAATTTCTCACTAATACCATTCTAAAATAAATATGATTCATCTGATTGAGTCCAAATTTGGTATATTTTTACACAACATTTAGATTTAAAAGTCTGTACTACTTTGTGCTATAAATAATATTTTGGTAGTGTTTTGCAATGTTTATTTCAAAGAAAATTTTGGCGAGGTTCAAAAAATGCAAAATATTTTGTATTTTGTCCCTAATATTTCAGGCAGGGTCAAAGCTACAATGGCGCTGACACCACAAAACCATTCTATGACATCTTACCTTTACAGACGTACCAAAAGTTTCTTCTTAAATCTAATAGCTGTGAGGCTATAAGTGATTTACTTTTGTGTGTTTTTGTCAGGCAGAAATTTATTTATACCCCCTGAGGGTGTAAGAGGTTAACGTTGTACCAACCTAATGTAAATTCAAAATGAGTCTGACACACTAGTTAAAATGTCATGATGGGATTAAGGTTCCTAACCCACATGCAGAACACAACGGAGACTGAAGAAAAGTTTGACTGTTTATTAAGAAAAGCACAAAGTTAAGCACTGATGCTGGGAAACAGATCTGGGACTGGTCACACATGGTTCTCTGTAGAGAGGGACAGTTTGGTTAGCCAGGATGCGGTTGATCTTGTCAGAGGAATTGAGCAGGTTTGTACCTGTGACGTGATTCAGGCTTAGCAGCAGAGAGGGGGAACCAGGAGGGTCCAGAGGCTAGTAGTTGGCAGAGGGCTAAGCAATGGCAGGGCTCGACTTCAGACTTATCAGTGTTCAGGTCCAGAGTTTTTTCCGATCCTCTTCTTGAGGGCGGGCAGGCAGGTTCAGACAGTTAGATTCTTCAGATGAGCTCCTGAGAGCTGGCAGGCAGATTTCAGCAGAGAAACTCTTCCAGAGTTCCAGGGTTCAGTCAGGTTTCTTCCTAGGAGGCAGAGAAGACAAAAACTGATTAGGTTCAGGTTCTGGTTTCAGGGGAGTCAGAGAATCAGACAGGCTGGTTGGCTCAGGCTTCGCTAACCATAACTGGCTTAACACTCTGGCACTGGAGTGTAGTCCTGCCGCTGCTTATATGCTGGTCTCCTGATGAATCAATGAGCCGCAGGTGTGGTCGTCAGCTCAGCTCCAGGAGACCTAGGGCGCCCTCTGCTGGAGGAAGGTAGACAGACCTCCAGATCCCAACATAAAACATTTATTAAAGATCAGCCAATGACATATCACAGTGTAAAAATAGTTTTGTGATCAGCATTATAAAAAAAACTGAAGTAATTACTAGTAGACAAACTAGTAAACAATCTGCTGTTATTAGAACCAAATTAAAGGTATTGTGTAGTGTTCTACACATGGAGACATGGCTTTGAGTGCATTCAATGGACATCTCTAGGGAAAACAAAACCCTACAAAAGGCATCTGATTTCTTTAGGGTCTCCCTTAGAGAAAACTTCTTTTCTCTCAATTAAACAGTCGATTCAAGGAACAAATGAAACTGTTTAGAAAAGAAGGTGAAAAAATAAAGAAGCTAATTAAGAGATATATATACATTTATGTCTTACTGTATAATTTAATTTCTACCTACATATTTATTCATTGTATTTTGGGGGGTAATTAATTGAATGCTTATTTATTTATTTATTGAGCATTTATTTATTTATGTATTTATTTTTGTACGGGAGAGCTGTTCCTCCATACCTAAAAAATCTTATCTGTGCAAATAAGCCTTAAAACAGATTTATGTAAGCATCCTGCCTGGTAAATTAGGCCATGAAAATACAATATCGAAGTGTCACTACTGCTCTCTAATGAGAATATCTTAGTGGCACACATCAGATTTAACTATCTGGAAATTAAAGGCGCCAATAAAGTTAAAGCTGATATATTTTTCTCATTTTTATTTCAAAAAATTGACTGTAGTTGACTGTTTTAATGAGTGTTTGGCTATGTAAAACAAATGGCTAGTCTTGGCCACATGAGCTCTCTATGGCCAAGAACCTTTAAAATCACTCATGTTTGAATAACTGAACATTATAAAACACCAGGCTAATCAAATTTTACAATTATAATAACAACATAAACTTTTTTTTTAAACACTTTTTCTTAGCCACTTGGATAGTCCCTTTCCATCACACACTGCTTGTTGGTAGGTGGGAAGCTTTGGTTTTACTAATTTACATATAGCATTTGGCTAAAATGAGTTAAGATTTATACTGACGCTAGATATTTTCACTTGCATACTGCAGGAGGGAAATCAGTGATTCACCTGAATGTGAGTTCTTAGGTTGGTGTTCAATGTCCTGGACATTGACAACGGTTTGGTTTTTGGATTGCAAAGCAGACATAAATTTTCAAAATCTCTGAAGATAAGGCCACGTTGTGGTAGCGACAGTTGGCTGCTCTTCTCGCTCTGCTCCTGTCTCCTCTATCCTGTGTGTGTGGCTCTGTTGGTGTCGTTCTTTGAGTTCCACTGCAGTGCGCATGCGCATGTTTCATAGACACAGACAGGAGAGGCAGAATAGAGGCTCATGCATGAATGTCCAACAAATAACTCCGATTGTTGTTTCAAAGTAGAAAACCTGGTACTTAGTTTTGCCCTGGATTTTGTAGCGTTTGTGGACGCTACGTCGCTACTTGATAAAAACAATAACGCCGCTACAGGAAAGTTACTTGATAAATAAAGCAGCAACGCTACGGTCAAGCTACTGGAAAATGTAGTTAAACTAATAGCTTCGCTACATGTAGCGGCGCTACTGCCCATCACTGCTCATTAGCTACATTATCTCAGTGACTCACAGCTTCGTATTTATAACTCTGAACTAAAGCAAATAAGTGCTAATACACATTACTCTCAGGGTAAATAATATGGATGGTAACAAACTGCCAACAGCTCAATGCCACTGTGGCAGCTGTGAACCTTTACAGTAACATGTCTTGGATGAGTCCAACTGTGTCCTTGAACCCCAGACGGCCTCAGCAGATGGCTGCTCGCACTGAGCCTGGTTCTGCTGGAGGTTTCTTCCTGTTCAAAGGGAGTTTTTCCTCTCCACTGTCGTTACAAGCATGCTTAGTGTGAGGGATTGCTGAAGAGTAAATGAGTCGATGCAATCAACTGGTTTTCCATAGATAGAAAACTTTGAACCAATCTGACTGTATAGTAGCAGCCATACAAAATGGTCCTTCCAGCCAAACGCTGGCCGAATAGCAGCATACTTCCCTCCAAGTCCCAGCAAATTCCCCTCCAACTTCCAGCCACTGGAGTAACCCCCTCTTGCATACTTTTTTTACTCTATCTCCACCCCAGGCTCGGACTGGTAATCTGTGATACCGGGCATTTGGTGGCCCTCGCACGCTGAAATTAGGGCCGGCCCTCCTTAAATCATACCGGCCCCAATACTTAGCCTCTGGCCAAAGTTCCTACCTGTGACAGTAAATAACTAAACAAGCACAAGAAGTAAGACAATGTTAACTACCTATTACTACTACTAAATGATGCATGCAGTATATATAGCCCTTCCTTGTCATGCACATCCTTGTGACGGTTGGCATATGATGTAATTTTCTATTTCTTCAACTGTAAAATTGCCACAAAGTTCCTCTTATATTTGGCAAATTTATGTTTGAACATTTTGCAAAAATATGTTGCAGTCCATGAAGGACTTTGATGGTTTTGCATCTAAAGGCTAACGTTTCCCATCTTACGTGCATTGTTTTCAGGTTGGGATGCTTCCTAATCTGGCAGTTTAGGATGGCTGTTTATGGGTAAAAATTATTTTTCTTTAGATTTATGGCCTAAGTGATCAATAGACTTTGGTTGAAATTGGGCAAAATTTCGTATATCCAGGCAGTTTCTGAAAATATTTTGGGCTGGAAAACGTGAGTCAGTGACACCTGGCAACCCTGCAGATGTCACTGACCAGAGCCAGTAAAACTGCATTATAGAAGTGGTGTTTGTCGTGCGATGCTTGAAGATTGATCGGCTTATCCACAATCTGTATTTGTGTTGTGATTCACATTTGAGATGCACCTGTTTGAACGGGGGGGGGGGGGGGGGGGGGGGGGGTATGGGTTTAGGGGGCATAAGTGGGTCAGTGTAGGTGGAAAAATGAAAATCGTTCCCAGTCCAAGCCTGTTCCACCCTTTCACTGAATTACATGGTCTGACCAGGAGATATCTATCTATCTATCTATCTATCTATCTATCTATCTATCTATCTATCTATCTATCTATCTATCTATCTATCTATCTATCTATCTATCTATCTATCTATCGATCTATCGATCTATCTATCGATCTATCTATCTATCTATCTATCTATCTATCTATCTATCTATCTATCTATCTATCTATCTATCTATCTATCTATCTATCTATCTATCTATCTATCTATCTATCTATCTATCTATCTATCTATCTGCTTATTAATGTACACTGTCCCTGTCAAATAAATAAATACATGTAAATCTAAATATAAGGGCAACATTGTATTCTTCATATATTATACTTTTAGACTAATAGAGAGAACTGAGTAAAACAGTGGTGGTATAATATTTTTTCCATTACTTGACATGTGTGGTGTGTTTACATTAGTTTATATTGGAAGTTGAATCTTTTTGTTTTTGTTGCAGAGAAAGATGCACACCTTCCTGGTGCTGGGCTGCTTTGTCTTCGCTGTAACACAGTACTACCTAGGCTCGGCTCACATGATCCCTGATGACAGACTGTCAACCAATAGGGTCGTTGCTTCAAATGCTTTGTCTCAAAGCCTTCAGATAGACACGCCTCCTGTTGTTATTGTGGGTAAATATGAATTCCAGTATTTGCATTTTCATACTAAAACCAAGGTATTTTCCATGTGGCGTTTACATTTATAACCCTGGAGTGATTATAGCTATTCGTGGCAACCTCTTAATATTAACTTGATGCAATTCATATTGCCAAAAACTATGATGGATTAAAGCTTTTCTGTGTTGAATTTTCAGAGCTGACAAAATCTGCAAAGAAGAAAGAAAAAGCAAAAAAGCCTAAAAAGGTTTGTGACATACTGTATACACTCACCGGCCACTTTATTAGGTACCCCATGCTAGTAACGGGTTGGACCGCCTTTTGCCTTCAGAACTGCCTCAATTCTTCGTGGCATAGATTCAACAAGGTGCTGGAAGCATTCCTCCGGGAGTTTGGTCCATATTGACATGATGGCATCACACAGTTGCCGCAGATTTGTCGGCTGCACATCCATGATGCGAATCTCCCGTTCCACCACATCCCAAAGATGCTCTATTGGATGGAGATCTGGTGACTGTGGAGGCCATTTGAGTACAGTGAACTCATTGTCATGTTCAAGAAACCAGTCTGAGATGATTCCAGCTTTATGACATGGCGCATTATCCTGCTGAAAGTAGCCATCAGAAGTTGGGTAAATTGTGGTCATAAAGGGATGGACATGGTCAGCAACAATACTCAGGTAGGCTGTGGCGTTGCAACGATGCTCAATTGGTACCAAGGGGCCCAAAGAGTGCCAAGAAAATATTCCCCACACCATGACACCCCCACCACCAGCCTGAACCGTTGATACAAGGCAGGATGGATCCATGCTTTCATGTTGTAGACGCCAAATTCTGACCCTCCCATCCAAATGTCGCAGCAGAAATCGAGACTCATCAGACCAGGCAACGTTTTTCCAATCTTCTATTGTCCAATTTCCATGAGTTTGTGCAAATTGTAGCCTCAGTTTCCTGTTCTTAGCTGAAAGGAGTGGCACCCGGTGTGGTCTTCTGCTGCTGTAGCCCATCTGCCTCAAAGTTCGACGTACTGTGCGTTCAGAGATGCTCTTCTGCCCACCTTGGTTGTAACGGGCGGTTATTTGAGTTGCCCTTCTATCAGCTCGAACCAGTCTGGCCATTCTCCTCTGACCTCTGGCATCAACAAGGCATTTCCGCCCACAGAACTGCCGCTCACTGGATGTTTTTTCTTTTTCGGACCATTCTCTGTAAACCCTAGAGATGGTTGTGCGTGAAAATCCCAGTAGATCAGCAGTTTCTGAAATACTCAGACCAGCCCTTCTGGCACCAACAATCATGCCACGTTCAAAGTCACTCAAATCACCTTTCTTCCCCATACTGATGCTCGGTTTGAACTGCAGGACATTGTCTTGACCATGTCTACATGCCTAAATGCACTGAGTTGCCGCCACGTGATTGGCTGCTTAGAAATTAAGTGTTAACGAGCAGTTGGACAGGTGTACCTAATAAAGTGGCAGGTGAGTGTATACATATATATATATTAAGTAAAGGGATTAAACAGAGGGGGTGGACTCAGTTTTTAGCTCTCCAAAACCTACAATGCAGTGATAGGGTTGATTCCTTCCCAATACCATCTCAAACCCCATCGCTATGCAGGGGAACTTAACATCTCATCAGGTCAGCCGGGCCAACAGCTGTCATAAAACGGGACAGATGGACCCAGTATTCAAGGTGAGACAGTCAGTAGGACAGTTCAAAAGTTTATTAAAACAAAACAGACAGAAAGAACGGAAGCGCGGAGCTATGGAACTGCGACCGCAGCTGCTGCAGGAGGGGGGCGAGGCACCGCCCAATCAATGACACTCTTGAGTTTGACAGTTCAGTCCATCCTCTCAATTTAGGCAGGATCAGCCAATGCTACCAACGATATGCAGCCCTAAGCCGAGTGTCCCTGATGCTGCCGCCCAGGAGAACATGCAGGAAGCCGATCCACGTCAGGGGAGAACAGATCCGGCAGCAACAGTTCAGGGATGCAGGTTTTCTCAGCTCGATCAGAGGTTTCAGGCTTCCAGGAACCCACAGAGTGTCAAGGCAGGTTCAGAGTCCAGTGCGTCGAGCAACCAGCTCAGACAAAAACGCACAGACACAGACAGGCAGAATCCAGCAGGAGTCTAAAGGTGCTACAGGCGAACAGATCAGACGGGGACATACACGGGCAGTGGGTGAGAGGGAACGAATTCAGGAAATCAGAATTACTAGGGTAACGCTGAAACGCTCTCACCACTTGTTAGGGAATAACTCGCCTGAAGACACTGGCTGCAGAATAATCTCTTACTGGAACACGGACATGCACCTTGGAAGTAAATCTAACAGACAGGACACAAACAGAAATCAAATAATGATCTGGCAACAGAAGCAGGTGGATGAGATGAGGGATAATTAAGAGCCCGGGCAGAATAAAGCAGGTGAATGACATGAACAATTAAGGCCAGCTAGCAGGGCAGATCATGACAATAACGACCCTTAACAACAGCCTTTTTAGAGGAATGGGCCAGTATCGGGTATTACAGGCCAATAACGACCTCAACCACTAGGGCTGTCACAATAACCGCACAAATGAAATATCGCAATATCAAGAAGCTCACCGCGCCACAAAACCAGCCACCGCCATCACCGCATCTTCGGAACAACAGTTGAGAAGGATACAATGGCACCTCCACTGATATCAAAACCAAATGTTACTTTGCCCCTTTGGGAGCATTTCGGTTTTCAACCAAATGAAAAGGGGGAGCCTGACAATTTAAATGAGGCAATGTGTAAAATCTGCGGCAAAGCTGTTAAAGTAAAACGTGGAAACACAACAAATGTAAGGGCTCATCTAACTAGCTGCCACCCAGCTGTTACGGCGCCTCCTGCTACACAGAGTCGTGCAGCGGCTCATGTTGGTGCCAGCCACAAGGATATGGCTGAGCTTTAAATCACCGTCATTTGTTTGTGTGTGAATTAAGAATTATAGTGCCTTTTACATTTAATTTTGTATAGGCACACTTAAGAAAAAAAAAAGAAAATAACAAAACGGACACTTGTTTTTTTTTTTAAAGAAATTTGCCTTTAAAGGTTCAGCCTGCTTCTGAATTTTAAGTTCAGTCAGAGAAATGAGGCATATATGTGCCATTACGGCCCTTTGATCTGCGTTTAATAAAGTGTTATAAAATTTCCATGTCTTTTTTTTAATAATCTTTTTTTTAATGTTTATGCGCCATTTTTCAAAGGAAATTTTGACATGTAGTTGGTAATTTAACAATATACAAACACATTTATGAAATAGATTACAATAAAGAAAAAAAATATGGTGCAATAATATCGCATATTGCAATATTTAGCGTCCTTGAATAATCGCAGGGGAAATTCCTCAACCGCGACAGCCCTATCAACCACTCCCATTATTAAGGGGTGGAGCTGGCTTTCCATAACCTGACTCCGTCAGATGGATTTGCTCCGCATATCCATCTGGAAACCTTCCGTTGAAGTAATTTTGGGAAGGGGCGAAAATACTGGTTAGCTGATTGGCCTATGTTGGTGATAGACGGGCCAAATAAACCAATCAGATCAATGAAGCATATAACGTACTAACAGAGCGACGACGAAAACACAAGCCAGGCTACTCTTGCCGAAACCAGTCGGGAGAAGAGCAAAAACATCTTTTCCTCTGAGAAAAGCCTCCAGAGCAGTGTTTTGCTCTTCTTTCAGTGAAGAAATACTCTATAATTCCGATAAAACTTGCTCGATAGCCACGCTAACGCTAGTTTCATCGGCTGAAGCCTCCATGTTCTTTAGACTGAACTGTCGTGCTTCTCGTTGCGTCACACCTCAACCCGCCTCAAAGCCAACGCTGATTGGACGTTCGTTTGGTGAACGGCTCCAAATTTTCTTTAACGGAGAGTCTCCAGACTGATTAGCGAGTGAAACCTTGAAAGCTCGCGAGATCAGGTTGGTGTCACGAGGCTAGGCTTTCCAGTTTCAATGTGCATGTTTTCTAAGCCATTACAAGGCTTTTGTTGGTCTACTCTATAAAAGCCTGGAACTTAACACTCATCCAGAAATTTTGAATTGAGAAAACTTCCTGGATGGGAAGCGAAACATCTTCAAACTTAAAAAAAAAACCCACTGGATTGTTTTTAAAGTTTAACTTTTTGGAATAAAAGGTTCGCTCATTTTGTCCAGACCTGTTTCTAATGTTTAGTTTTCAAATTCACTATCAAAGTCTGGTTGAAAAGCAATATCTGGCTTTAAAGGAATAGTACACCCAAAACATGATTAGCCTTCATTTTCTACTCACCCCCATGCTGAACAAAACTCTGGAGTACTTTTTTGATATCTCAAATGCATCTGGAGATCTGGGAGGCTTCTTGCTGTCTGCTGACATTCAAATAATGGAGGTCTATGGCGCCCGAGACAGAAAGGTCCACAAAAGTCCACAAAAACGTGTCAATATTCCTCCATACTGCTCGTCCAATGTAATCCAAGTGTCCTGAGTGGGTAGCATCCAGAATTTACTCGAAACGAAGTCATTTAGAACGTTTTAGAGCCTAAACAGTAGTGTATAGGATTTCCTAATAGAGCCCCCATGCGCGCTCACGATTCTACGGAAGCCGGCAGACCAAACCAGCGCATTCAGCTCGGCAAAGAACTCATGCTCTTCCTCAACACTGAAGTCCTCAGACATTTTTCTTTCGTTGTTTCTTTCTTTGCACAGGTAAACAGCACATTTCTTCTTCTACGCTTGCATTATCGGCAGACCAGACGCTGAATGCGCACTTTCTTCCGGTTTGGTCTGCCGGCTTCCGTAGAATCGTGAGCGCGCATGGGGGCGCTATTAGGAAATCCTATACACTACTGTTTATGCTCTAAAAACATTCTAAATGACTTCGTTTCGAGTAAATTCTGGATGCTACCCACTCAGGACACTTGGAATACATTGGACGAGCAGTATGGAGGAATATTGACACGTTTTTTGTGGACTTTTATGGACCTTTCTGCCTCGGGCGCCATGGACCTCCATTATTTGAATGTCAGCAGACAGCAAGAAGCCTCCCAGATCTCCAGATGCATTTGAGATATCAAAAAAGTACTCCAGAGTGTTGTTCAGCATGGAGGTGAGTAGAAAATGAAGGCTAATCATGTTTTGGGTGTACTATTCCTTTAATTTGTTAACTTTCATTGATTTTTTTTTTTACTTATTATTACTTTGGTCTGATTTAAGCTACTCCTGTGTCCATTGTTTTTCTTTCATTAAACGATGGGGTATCAATCATTTTCTCATTGCACTTATATATCTAAGTAAACATTTATCTCTTTCTTTTCTTAAATAAATGTTATCTTTTCCTCTGTTTTCTCTCAGAGCAAATTTGTGAAGAAGCGCCCTCCTCCCCCCGCAAACTGCGTCCCCCTCTGGGGAAGCTGTAAATCAGCAGGCAATGTGTGCTGTGATGTTTGCGCTTTCTGCCAGTGTCGGCTCTTCAAAACCGTGTGCTTCTGCAGAATGGGTAACCCCCGCTGCTAAACGAGCAGCTGGGGGGGCCTTCAAAGCTCCTCATCACCGCGGCACACCTCCCAGCAACAGGAAACCACATGCAGTGAGGTGGTGAAAGGTGACTCACTTCTCATCGTTGGTTTGTAACTTTGCCTACAACTTACTGCATGGAAGCACTTTATCACAGACGGCTGCACCGAAGTGAACTGTACTGAAACTTAACCGTGTAAGGCTTTTAACAACGCTATGAAACCTCAAATTAAGGGTTTTTTTCGAGCTGAGAATTTTACCACGTATACATGAACCTATTATGATCTGGCAGTTTTATATGATCTGTTTACACATGGTAACTTTCCACATGATATCATCGTTATAACAGGTATAAATATTCTTTTTACACTTTAAAGAATAAAAAGCCTTAACCAATTAAGTTTGTTGTTTGGATTGTTTCTATTTTAATTCAAGCTGTCGGAAGAGATGCATTTATTTATTTAGGGCCCATGGGAGACTGGAGGATTCTATCCCATTAACTGGCTGTGTCATGGTCTTGGTTCTGTTTTTCACTTTGCTCCTTGTTTTCTAGTTTTATTGGTTTGATTCCAATTTTGTTGTAATTTCTAGATTTATGTCAGTTCTCATGTTTTTGTGTTGCCCTCTTGTGTGTGTTCCTTTCTTCTTGGCTCCCTCGTTGTCTCCTCTCACACCTGCTCCTTGTCAGCTCCTTAGCCCTGCCTTTGTCTCAGTCAGCTATATATACTCTCCCTCTGCTGTCACTCCTTGTTGGTTCCTTGTCTTTGCTGTCCACCCATGCTGTTGTCCACCTACCTCGTCTCTCCCTGTCTCCTCGTGTTTTATTTCCCCAGATGTCTCCATTGTTCTGGTTTGCTTTATATTTTTCAGGTTGGATTTTGGATTTTTGGATTCCCGCCTCTGTTACCTGTGTTTATTTCATTAAAGCTGCAAGAAATCTCCTCAGCCTCTGCCTCTGCATTTGGGTCCTCAAACCACAACTAAACCCTGACAGGCTATCTTATAACATTTTCTGAGCCATGACCATGATCCTAGCTTGCAAATTGATTTATTAGAAAGGAAATTAATTTTTAAACATATTTTTTTGTCTTTGATATATATTTTTTTATATTAAACCCATGATTTATTCTCTGAGTACTTTAAACAAAGTTCTTACCTTTCAGAAATAAAATAAAGTTTTCATTTGAATCTGAAAAACTCAATTAGAAGAATTTTATTCATACAACTACTTTAGTCTTTGGCTCTCAGACTTCGGCTGGAAACAGAGCTGAATTTTGCTTTGATATGCGTGAACGGGAGTAAAAAATAGGGATGTTTCCCTCCAGGCGTGAAACTGGTGATGGAGTGGAGATGGATGGAGTTGGTCAGTCTGTAGACTGCTAAATGATGAGATAGTCTGCTTGAGCTTTATGGGGAGATCCAGTGGACTGCGTGAGCCGATACTAGAGCTTCACTCAGGGACCTGGAAGATGGAAGTCCAGTTGGATAACACAGGTTTACAGAACATGTCCATGATGAGCAAGCATGAAGCGACAGTGGTGAGAAAAAAATTCCCCATTGGGAAGAAACCTCTGGTAAAACCAGGCTTAACATGGTGGTGTTCTAACGGACCGGTTGAGATGAGACAGGGAGTCCGGGAAGAATGACGCTCTGATGAAGCTTTAGCTACGATGGTGGAGGAGGGGTTGAATCGGGGTCATCTGAATTGAAGTCAGACATAGCGGAACCACTGCCTGCACTTTGGGTAGCAGACTGAGATGTGGATTGGCCCTTTAAGATGAACTATGGATGCTGATTGGGCTTCGTAGAGGTGTGGTTCAAAGCTGATTGGCTTATGTCAGAGACGGATGAGGGTAAGTCATTGTTTCCTCAGTTGACTTCTGCAATTCCATTTTGAACATAGATATCTAGAATAGAGTTTTTACATAGAAAAGTTGAACGGCTAAATGGCAGCAGAGAAGATAATCTTAGAAGAGGGGAATGCTGTGATGGCCAAGTTTGTGTAATTCTTGTAAGTTAAAATTTAATCCAATATTTCATTTCCTTTCAACTGTAATCATACTTAAGTTATTTTGTGATCTAAATCTGTAATTAACTTTCTTTTTTAGTTTAATACTTTTTTTAGACACCTATTATAAAAGAAATGCATAGCACAGCAACGGGAACATGAAGGGATGTTTGGTTTTTGTAAAAAGTTTTCTGATGGTGCAGTGGTGGAACAATTTGGAGCATTTGTTTTCTAACCCAATTCACTTTTTCTTGATCTCAGTTATTTAAAAATGTGTCATTTTCTCTCCACTTCAGAGTTTGGAAAAATGTTTTGTGTGTCTATTGAATAAAATTGTAATGCAATAAATAAAACGTTTGTGGTTCCAGCATGACAAGAAAATTTTAGACATTGAGGACCAATGTCCACATTTCCTTTTATGCTACGTTCAGACCGCAAGCAGCAAGAGCAGCAAAAACGCACCTGCTACTTCCTTTTTGATGCTTGTACAAGTTTAGTTCTGACACACAGCTGAAGCATCTTTGCTGCTCTAGCTGCACGGTGGTAAAGTGGGTCTGATGCGCGTTGGGCGGAGCTACTCTATCCTTTCTTTTCAAAATATACTTTGGTTCTCAAACACAAAATCCACTGTTACGGCTGCAGTGGGTTTCTGCACTTTTCCTAGCAGGGTTCAGGATGCAGGCCTTCTGCAGGGGATCTGTTTTGCCCTAATTGGTGCTCGTCTGCTTTAAAAGCTGTCATGCAAGCAGAGGCTTCTCTCTCTTACCTCCTCAGAACCCCTTTTGGTTGTGTTTGGTTTGTATTCTATGGTTGGGTTTTGTTAGGTTTGTTTGCATTTGCTTATTTCTGTTTAGTTATTAGTTTTGCAGTAAGCCATTTTCTATTCATCATTTTATTTATCCCTTTTTCGGGTTTTGTTTCTTTAGTATAATTTAATAAATTAAATTTTCAGTTTAAAGAAAATCCTTGTGTGGTCTCCTTTAATGTTACCCCCATCAAACAAGCCTGGTGGACGTAACACCATCTATACTGTAATATAATTAGGATTTTCTATCAATGGTTTTCCAAACATTGGATTACTTTTAAAACGTTTATACACTGGGTAACTATATGCTGCATTATACACCAGAGATCTGGAGCAGGTAAGGGATTAAAATTTCAGATGAAATGATCTGTAGCATTAAAATATATGAATCTACAATCTGAGTTTATCTTCATTATACCTCTTCCTCTGCAATCCAGCATTTGTTTTTCACATCTAGAATGTATCTGTAGTTGTTTAACAGTTTTGGAGTAAGCTTGATGGAAGGAATTAACTTTTCTACTGATACCCTTTTCTCAAATACTTAGGGGGAGCTTTACCATAAAAATGAAAAGACAAATCCAATCCCTTAGTTTTAAGGGTTATGGGAGCCTGAGGTAACTGCCTTTCTTTCCTGGCTCTTCTTTCATAAAGCTGGAAGACAATCAAATAATTGCAAAATCATCACTTGATTTCAAACATCACAGAAGCCATCATGAAAATAGGTGGGATAAATGGCATCCGGAGGAAAGAGTAATGTAAAAAAACAAAAAAAAAAGGGGAGAAATCAATCTTAAACACAAACGCATCAGATATTCAATGTGCAGAAAAACATTTACAAGGATTTTCATTTGATTTACAGAGACAGCGTTCTATGAAACCTGAAGTTTACCCACAAGGGTGTAATTCCTTGGCACAGCTGGACAATTTATTTTCTCAACTTCACTTTTTGTTCTACACCACAGGAACTCCAAATCCTCCCAAGGTTTGTTTTGGTACGTTGCACTGTTAACGCTATAATGGACTAAAACGGTGAAATGGTGTTTCATCTGAGTCACACTGGACACAACAGGCCAGAGGGTTTCAGAAATGTTATACCAAAAAAATATGATGCAACAAATTGTAAAAATTGTGAAGGAAAAAAAGGATTTCCTTCTTCTTTTGTCTTCTTCGCTCTCAATCTGCAGGTTTACTAGTGGTTCCTAGAATTTCTAAAAGTAGATCTTTTAGTTCTCAGGCTCCTCTCCTGTGGAACCAGCTACCAGTTTTAGTCCGTGAGGCAGACACCCTGTCTACTTTTAAGGCTAGGCTTAAAACTTTCCTTTTTGATAAAGCTTATAGTTAGAGTGGCTCAGGTTATCCTGAGCTATCTCTATAGTTATGCTGCTATAGGCTTAGACTGCTGGAGGACATAGGGACCCCTTTTTCATCATTCTGCTTCATTCTATCTCTATTCTCCCACTCTGCAGAATCTGTTAGTTCAATCTCTAACGTTCTGCTCTCTCTGCTTTTTCTCATAGTAGCTTTGCCTCCTCTGTTCCTGTTTGGCTGTGACTCCATCCTGGAGAGAAATATCAGCTGTGCTGCTGCCATCAACACCTTTGTTTCTAGATGTTGGAGATCAGCCTGTTTCTGAGGGCCGGATTTATCAAGATCCAATTTTGCGTGCAGTAATTTGCGCTCGCAAACTGGAATTTTGCGCGAGGGGCTGAACCATGGTTTGCGGGTGATTTAACAAGAGTGATTGCGTAACTGGTGGAAGGTGCAAAACTGTTGGAGACGCCCTATTTAAATGATGGTTTTGCGCGTTTTGTGGTTTGCGGCAAAGTAGTTTGTAGTCTGTACAAACTAGTGCATTAAGAAATTTAAATCTTACAGTGACCCCCAACAAAAAAAATAAATAAGTAAATATATATATATATATATATATATATATATATATATATATATATATATATATATATATATATATATATAAATTGGCAACCTTTATTCCCTAAGGTGGTATGTGCTGCAGTAAAAAAAAACCAAAAAACCTGTGACTGTGGATGAGATCCCTGCAGCATTTGGTACGTTGCTCCACAGGCGCAGGGGGAGAACCCCGACCCCGTCGGACAGCACTTCTGAAAAAACGAGATTACGAGATCCCAGCTCTCGCTGCAACCGTACGCTGGAATGACCCAGATGCAAAAAAGTGCAACGTTGCAAGGAGTTTTGTGATATCTGGTATTGCGTGGGTCCTCCTTGTGGCTGGCTCCAAATCCATTCGGAGTTCCCCCAACAGCTCCAAAATGGCAATGCTGGATAAACAATATGTTTTGATGATCGTTTCCTCGTTCATTGCAAAAATATTCACACGGAGTGAAAAAATGCGTTCTCTGCGTCTCCTTGCTTCATTTCCATGTCTCCTTCTTGCGACAATAACCGCTGCCATGTGTGCGCAATTACGCATACAGACCATTTGCACCTTCTTTTGAAACGTGTTAAATATAGAGTCAGATACCGTTAGCAAAATTGTTTTCAGGTTTGATAAATCACTTTGCGAGTGCTAAATTAATATATTTACATGTTCTCCTCCCACAAGACGCAC